AGTCTCAAATTATCATCGTTTAAAAAAAACAGTCAAATGAAATTTAATAATAATAATGATAAATAATGTTGAAACGTACCGTAGTGAATGTTTATAGTGATCTTGGTGAAAAAAGACGATTTAAACTTGTTAAAATGAGGTAAAACTCTGTAAAAACTATCTCCTCTCAGATCCTAGGCGCGTGCCGAGAAGCTGACAGACGTACTGACGCAGAGCCACGGCCAGTGCCACAATAAACACACCGGCCGTGGCTCTGCGCATGCGCAGTGACTCCAGCTTCATGGCCACGCCCACCTGTCAGCATGACTGCATGGTGCTGATAAGCTAATCAGACGATCCTGTTACTAAAAGAAYAAAAACAAACCGACTTAATCCAAACTCTGCGACCCAAACTGGTTCAGATTAAACCCTCACAGCCTCATCTSTGACCAGAACCCCAAAAACTAAATAACTTCTCATTTAAACTGGTTTTAACTGGTTCTTAGACTAATGAGAAAGTTATTTTAAATATGAGGGAAACAGTCAAAACATCAAGCATAAGATGCATTTCTTTTCATGATTTAATTATTTTTAAATCCAAGAGTGAAATTAACTAAAGGTACTTATTGAAAAGCGTGAAATAAAAAGTTATTTTGAACTTTATCAGATGCAGTTTAAATGTGTTCGAGTAGTTTTCAGATACATTGATATGTAATTCTGAAATATGGGTCTGCGATCGGTGCAAACACAACACATATCTGCATCTCAACGTAAATAAATTGATCGGTGATGCATTTTTTCATCTCAAACAGAACAAAAAGCATAAACTTAGCATAAAAATGAGCATTTAGCAAGTTTTGAAAACACTAAACTTTATTTTTTTTATTAAAAAACACGTTTTTATTAAAGAGAACCTGTGCTCTGCAGCGTAGACGAGTCTGTCTGCAGGACAGTAGAATCAGATTTGTGTTGCTGTTTTCCAGGTGAATAATTGCGTCATTATAAAAAATAATCAGAGCAAACAGACCAATCTTATTATAAACCGTCTGCTCTCAGCTGCTTTCATGTTTAAACCTTGACAAACCGTCAGATCAGATAAAAGAAACAAACATTTGAGGGTTTTACAGTTTCATTATCGTGGACTCTGGAATCCCCCTGGATTCCCAGGTTTATGACAAAAAGGTTCAAAAAGTGAAAATACATTTCTCTGTTCAGAGGAGTTATTCTGTCTGAGTTTGTTTAGTCATCAGGTTTGACCTTTAGAGCTGCAGGCAACTAAAATAACTTATTAACACGTCCGTCAACTTGTAGAGAAATACAGTTTAAATCACGTTGGTTTATATTGATACGATTACTTGTAGCATTAATGTATTAATGTGCACACATTTGAAACTTCTAAAAAAGAAAGTATCTTGTGAACATTTTGAGTAAATTAATCTACAACTGTTATCCTCACAACATTTTTACAGCTTTAAAGTGGAAGTAGAAAACCTAACTGTAGAAAACCCCAAATTTTTTATTCCCACGAATGAAAGTGAAGCTTGAAGACGGCAAAGGCTGGTTCACCCCAAAGATCCGGTGCCCCGGCACAAACAGAGCAATGTTGTATATGCTGTTAAGTGCCAGGAGGACTGCGACCAGTTATACATCGGGGAAACAAAGCAGCCACTGTTCAAAAG